CAACATCAACTCAAGAACCACCTCAGTAGTTAATACAAGTGCTAAGCTGGGGCTCAATCCTGCAAAGTGCTGACCACTGATCTAGCACAATGCAAAAAAATCTGATTAATTAATTTGAGCCATGCAAATAGCCTCACTGATCTAAGTGGCTTTGCTAGACAAAGAGTTTAATTCCACCTGCAATTCAGGAATGGAGTTGCAGTAGGTCCGGAGCAAAGCTCTTTCAGCCTCTTTGGATTAGAGAAAACATTGTTCATGTGGATAACACAAGTTGGAGGAAAATATCTGTGCGGCAGGAATAGATGTTGCAAGACATCTTGGTGAGCTGGGAAGAACTACTCAGAGGAGCAAAACCTGCAGTCCTTTCTCTCCCCTTCATCTACCTTTTCAAACATGTTACATTCAAAACACAGAAATCCACAGGAAACACTTGTTTATTTTAATCCAACTTTACATTTGAGACAGCAACATCAGCATTCACAGAGCTCAGTGATGAATATGGAATAAATAGACTAGATATTCAGAAATGAGATGAGGTACTGAGAATTACTTAGCCTCCTGATTACATGCCACCTTTAAGGAGACTACACAGTTGAAAGAGAAGAGAAAAATAAATTGTTACTACTGCATGTGTTGCTATTTTCTGCCTATTTTTCCCCAGAGTTTCTTTTGCGTGTTTGTAGCTAGTCTGTTTCTTTCTTTGCTGGATGGTAAGGTCTGTATCTCACCCTGTGCCCCAGGACTATCAGCCTCAGAGAACCAGTGGAGCTGGGAACAGGGCAATGGGGATGCGGTCCCCAACTTCAGCTGTGCTGCATATGCACAGTGAGCAGTGAGCTGGCTGCCTGGTCCGTGCAGAGCTGGGGTCTGGCCAGAACTGGGGTCTGGCTGTAGCCTCTGCTTTGGTGTGGCTCTGGAGCTCAGGGGATGAGCGCTGTTGCTGTTCACCCTTCTCCTCCACTGCCCCCTGCCCCCACGCCCCTCCTGATTCAACCACAGGAGAAAGGGGATGAGCAGTGGTGGCAGCCCTCACCCCTGGGCTCTGGAGCCAGGAAGACCCGGTGCTGAGAGATCATGTATCATACAGCAAAAGGAGGGTGGCAACCATGCCACTGCACCCACTCTGGAGCTGCCCCAATCAGCACTTGCACATGTTCCTGAAGCGAGAGGTATCTGCAGAGCCATGCCTTTTCTACCTACTCTGCAAAGAGGGTAACAGCAATAGCAAACCAGTAATGAGGAAGCAGCTGATACGTGGGTTCTGCAAAGAAAGACAAGAAGTAGAAAGGGCAAAGAAGATTTAGTTTCTCAATGAAAACTTCCTCATTGTAAGAACAGTGGGACAATGAAAAAAGCTGCCCAGGGAAGTTGTAAAAACTCCTTCACTGAAGAGGCTGAAGGGGCATTTGTCTGGGATGGCTTCGGAACAGCCACCCTGTATCTCTGCAGGGGGTTGGACTTGATAACCTTTGAGATCCTGCCGAACTCTGATTCTACTGTGATAGGCCAAGTAAGCATGGTGGTGTTACTTCTGTGCTCCCTATGAGTAGTAGAGCAGGGGAAAAAATCAACTTTAAAAAGTTTTAAAAGATTTTTAGGGTATATCACTGAAAGGGTACTGTATCAGGAGCAAGTGTGCTTTTAGTGTCCCTTTAAGTGGTCTGAAAATAACTCAATTCCTCACCCCAGGCTTGCATGAACAATGTCAAACATGCTGCTGGCTTCTGAATTCTCTTGTGATTGTCCAAATATCATCCTGTTTCCTGAGTACCAGGTTTTAAATGATTTGTCACCTTCTTTCGGGGTATGACAGCATGGCAAACGCAGTTAGAATACAAGAGAGAAGGGAATAAAGCACAACACAAATCTTCCTAAGTCCTCCTGCAGGACCAGCACAAAACCACTTTGGGTTGATCCTCTTGGCAGTTTATAGAACTATCCACTATATCATTCCCAGTAAAGGTCTCATCTATTCTGCCCTTGAACCTCTGCAGTTATGGTGCCTCAGCCATGTCTCACAGGAATCTGTTCCATGGCCCAGCTGCTGTGATTGTTAGATGAGAACTGCAGCCATTTGTTCAGGCCAAGAGCCTGTGAGTTCACTGGGTAAGAAGTAACTTGCACTGTGCAAAATGTGCCTAAGGTTTGAATTATAATTAGCAATTATAAGGGGTCTCATGTGGCTAAAAAGTGATATAGTTTAAGCCAATGGCAACACATGGCCCAGTGGTTTCCTAAGTGCTTTTTCATAATAATTAAAACACTCCTAATATATATATATATATATATATATATAAAATAGCTAAACCCCTCCCCTTTACTATTTTATAGATATATAAAATAGTAAAGAGGAGTGGTATATATAAAATGGTATACAGCAAAGTTTTTTTTTCAAAGCCTGAAATCAACACTAAAACAAGCAACGTGGTTGTTAGCAATTTCCTCCCCTGGGTTCTCTCACTGCCAAGATGGTCACATTCTGCATTAAGCTTAGAAATCATCTTGGTAGTTAAACAGATTTCAGAAATTGGCTGTAAATTTAGGATTCATCAGCATAGAGGACACCACCGAAGCCATGGGAAGGAGTAGAATCAGGGAGATTCTACTCCTTCCCTGCCTAGATCAGGGAGGAAGTGAGGACCAAGGACAAAGGGCTATGGCAATGGTGTCAAACATGTGGCCCGTGGCTGCTCTATCCAGGCTACTGGGCTACCACAGGGCCACTGGGTGTTGGGGGGCATGGCCCGCCACAGAATTTGGGGCCCTTTGACCTCATTGAGCAGGGTCATCCCACACCTCTTCCCCAGACCCACTTGGGCCACTGGTCTCCTTCCATGATCACTGGACCCCTTTGCTGCCCCTGAAAAGCCCACTGCTGCTGGACCCTGTGCCACTGTCACCACAGAAGCTGCCCCCATGGCCCAGGCTGGATCCAGCCCATGAAAAGCCCTGCAGTCCAGATCCGGCCTGGGGGCGTGGGTGAGTTTGACACCCCTGGCCTATGGGAAGACAACAGGCATGGCAGAAGAGAACATAAGCAACCTGAACAGGAGATGTGCACAGGAGTTGACAATGCAGGAAAATAACAGGGAGGCCGTAGAATCATGAAAGCCTCAGGCACATAGAAGATAACTAGAGGATAGGAAGTATAGGCAAAGAAAATGGAAAGGAGAGTCACATTATCAAGAAAAAGGTGTGTGTGGTAGGAGAGAAAGACAGTATCAGGAAGCTGGAGAATCAGACTGGGGTTAAAGGAAAGCTTTATTTCAAACTGGGGATAAGATGCCTCCTGGTGGATACATGGACTGAAGGAAACACAAGGAAGAAAAACAAGGGAGAAAGCAGGGGTGACAGGGATACTGAGGAAGAAGAGATGGCAGGAGGGAAGCAGATGAGGGGATAGATCAATGGTAGAAGATAAAAGACCTTAGAATGAGATCCTAGGGTGGGATGGAGAGCACATGGAGGGAGGAGAAAAACTCCAGCCACCATTAGTTTCATGGAGGGAAGGGGAGAATGGAAGGGGGAAGGGGGAAGCTGACAAGATTCATGGCACAGGTGAGTTCAGAAGAGGAAAATGACTGGGAAGAGGGTTGCAGGAATTACTCAAACTTGCCAATGTAGTGCAGGGGACAGGGCAGCAGCCCAGCTGGGCTGCCTCACCGCCCCCTGCCAGATCTTGCGCTGGGGATGGGAAGTCAGCCCAGCTGGACTGACTTCCCATCCCCAGCCTATGGTTGAAACATTTAGACTTTCGAAACGTTTCAACCAGCCTCGTTTTGTTTTGAGGCTATTTTGATGGCTTTTGTTTCATTCCAATTTTGCTGTTTCAACCTCAAAATTGGTCGAAACAGTGTTGGAATGAAACAACCGTCGAAATTTTGCACAGCCCTAATGCACCCCTATTAA